CTTAGCCCCATGCCAGCTCTGTGCCAGCCCCATGCCAGACCCATGCCAGCCCCTTAGCCCCATGCCAGCCCCTTGCCAGCCCCTTAGCCCCATGCCAGCCCCTTGCCAGCCCCTTAGCCCCATGCCAGCCCCTTGCCAGCCCCTTAGCCCCATGCCAGCCCCTTGCCAGCCCCTTAGCCCCATGCCAGCCCCATAAAATCCCCTAGTCCTTTGCCAGCCACATGCCAGTTCCATGCCAAAGCATTAGCCCCATGCCAGCCTCTTGCCAGCCCCATACCACCCCCTTAGCCCCGTGCCAGCCCCTTGCCAGCCCCATACCAGCCCCTTAGCCCCATGCCAGATCCATGCCAGCCTCTTAGCCCCATGGCAGAGTCATGCCAGCCCCATAGCCCCATGCCAGCCCTGTGCCAGGCCTTTAACCCCATGCCAGCCCCATACCAGTCCCTTAGCCCCATGCCAGCCCCATGCCAGTCCTATACCAGCCCCAATCCCAGTCCCCTGAGCCCCATGCCAGCCCTGTGCTAGCCCCTTAGCCCCAATGACAGCCCCACACCAGCCCCTTAGCCCCATGCCAGCCCCATGCCAGTCCTATACCAGCCCTTTAGCCCCATGCCAGCCCCATACCAGCCCCTTAGCCCCATGCCAGCCCCATGCCAGCCTCTTAGCCCCATGCCAGCCCATTAGCCCCATGCCAGCCACGTGCCATTCCCATACTAGTCCCTTAGCCCCATGGTAGCCACATGCCAGCCCCATGCCAGCCCATTAGCCCCATGCCAGCCGCATGCCAGCCCCGTGCCAGCCCCATACCAGTCTCTCAATCCCATAACAGCCCCTTAGCCCCATGCCAGCCCCATAAAATCCCCTAGTCCTTTGCCAGCCACATGCCAGTTCCATGCCAAAGCATTAGCCCCATGCCAGCCTCTTGCCAGCCCCATACCAGTCCCTTAGCCCCATGCCAGTCCCTTGCCAGCCCCATACCAGCCCCTTAGCCCCATGTGAGCCCCATGCTAGTCCTATACCAGCCCCTTAGCCCCATGCCAGCTCTGTGCCAGCCCCATGCCAGATCCATGCCAGCCCCTTAGCCCCATGCCAGCCCCTTGCCAGCCCCTTAGCCCCATGCCAGCCTCATGCCAGCTCCATGCCAGCCCCTTAGCCACATGCCAGCCCTGTGCTAAGCCCCTTATTCCCATGCCAGTCCCATGCCAGCCCCATACCAGTCCCTTAGCCCCATGCCAGCCCCTTGCCAGCCCCATACCAGTCCTTTAGCCCCATGCCAGCTCCATGCCAGCCCCATACCAGCTCCTTAGCCCCATGTGAGCCCTATGCCAGTCTATACCAGTCCCTTAGCCCCATGCCAGATCCATGCCAGCCCCTTGCCAGCCCCGTACCAGTCCTTTAGCCGCATGCCAGCCCCATGCCAGCCCCATACCAGCCCCTTAGCCCCATGCCAGCCCCATGCCAGCCTCTTAGCCCCATGCCAGCCCATTAGCCCCATGCCAGCCACGTGCCATTCCCATACTAGTCCCTTAGCCCCATGGTAGCCACATGCCAGCCCCATGCCAGCCCATTAGCCCCATGCCAGCCGCATGCCAGCCCCGTGCCAGCCCCATACCAGTCTCTCAATCCCATAACAGCCCCTTAGCCCCATGCCAGCCCCATAAAATCCCCTAGTCCTTTGCCAGCCACATGCCAGTTCCATGCCAAAGCATTAGCCCCATGCCAGCCTCTTGCCAGCCCCATACCAGTCCCTTAGCCCCATGCCAGTCCCTTGCCAGCCCCATACCAGCCCCTTAGCCCCATGTGAGCCCCATGCTAGTCCTATACCAGCCCCTTAGCCCCATGCCAGCTCTGTGCCAGCCCCATGCCAGATCCATGCCAGCCCCTTAGCCCCATGCCAGCCCCTTGCCAGCCCCTTAGCCCCATGCCAGCCTCATGCCAGCTCCATGCCAGCCCCTTAGCCACATGCCAGCCCTGTGCTAAGCCCCTTATTCCCATGCCAGTCCCATGCCAGCCCCATACCAGTCCCTTAGCCCCATGCCAGCCCCTTGCCAGCCCCATACCAGTCCTTTAGCCCCATGCCAGCTCCATGCCAGCCCCATACCAGCTCCTTAGCCCCATGTGAGCCCTATGCCAGTCTATACCAGTCCCTTAGCCCCATGCCAGATCCATGCCAGCCCCTTGCCAGCCCCGTACCAGTCCTTTAGCCGCATGCCAGCCCCATGCCAGCCCCATACCAGCCCCTTAGCCCCATGTGAGCCCTATGCCAGTCTATACCAGTCCCTTAGCCCCATGCCAGATCCATGCCAGCCCCTTGCCAGCCCCGTACCAGTCCTTTAGCCCCATGCCAGCCCCATGCCAGCCCCATCTCTGCCCCCTATAGCTCTCAGTGGACCAGATGAGCGGGGAGCAGGCGCCCGGCCCCAAGGAGCAGGAGTGGGCAGGCCCGGAGGCGCTGTGCCCGGGCTGGCTGGAGGACGAGGTCCCTGATGGCGAGGTGCCCGAGGACAGCGGGGACCCCGACTCTGCCACCCACGCCTACGAGCTGCTCCAGAGGGCCCTGTGCCAGGAGGGGCTGCCCCCCACACTGGACCGCTCCGCAGAGCCCCGCACGGGTAGAGGGGGGCACAGGGGAAGCTGGGGTGGGCATGGGGGTCAGAGGGCTGGGACTGGGATGGTGACGGGGGCAGAGGGGTGGCAGGGACAAGGGTGGCACTGGGGGCTTGGTGCCAGGTTGGGAATACGGGGGTGGCAGGGACAAGGGTGAGGATGGGGGCACAGTGCCAGGATGGGGGCACGGGGGTGGAGGGACAGGGATGGCAACGGGGGCTTGGTGCCAGACTGGGGACATGGGGGTGGCAGAGACAGGGATGGAAATGAGGGCACGATGCCAGGCTGGGGACATGGGGGTGGCAGAGACAAGAATAGGGATGGGGGCATGGTGCCAGGATGGGGACATGAGGGTGGCAGCAACAGGGATGGCAAAGGGGGCTTGGTGCCAGGCTGGGGACATGGGGTGGCAGGGACAGGGATGGTGATGGGGGCTTGGTGCCAGGTTGGGGACACAGGGATGGAAGGACAGGGATGGCAATGAGGGCACGGTGCCAGGCTGGAGACATGGCAGGGATGAGGATAGCGATGGGGGCACGGTGCCAGGCTGGGGACATGGGGGTGGCAGGGACAAGAATGGGGATGGGGGCACGGTGCCAGGATGGGGACATGGGGTGGCAGCAACAGGGATGGCAAAGGGGGCTTGGTGCCAGGCTGGGGACATGGGGTGACAGGGACAAGAATAGGGATGGGGGCTTGGTGCCAGGCTGGGGACACGGGGATGGAGGGACAGGGATGGCAATGAGGGCACGGTGCCAGGCTGGAGACATGGCAGGGATGAGGATAGCGATGGGGGCACGGTGCCAGGCTGGGGACACGGGGGTGGCAGGGAGGAGGGTGGCACTGGGGTCCCCTTGCCTTGCTGGCAGGATTTGGCCCGCTGGACATGACCGTCTGCATCCTGGGCTCTCCCACCGCCTTCCTGCCCGTCCTGCTGGAGGGTGGCACCCGCTGCCCAGGTGGGTACAGTCCCCTCATCCCCCTCCCAACCCTATATAAGACACCCGTGAACCCACAGCGGGTGCTCCCCACGTCCCACCAGGCCAAAATGTTCCCCCCCCCCAAACACACACCCCCCGTGTCTGCGTGATGGGAGGGAAACTGAGGCAGGGGGCAAGGGTGGCACCAGTGTCCCCCCCCTCCCCATGCCCTACATCCACAGCCCCATTAACTCCCAGTACACACCAGTACCGGCAGCCCAAGGTGCTGGGGCAGCCACAGCATCATTCCACCTGGGTGGGCACCCCTTTTGCCCCCCCCGGGTGGGGGTCTCATGGGCCTTTGCCCCCCCGCAGGTGCCATGGTGCTGTGCCTGTCACCCTCCTGGGCCAAGCGGGTGCCCTCGGAGACCTCCCCGGGCGCCTGGTCCCTGCTGCTCTCCCGGGGGGTCTCCTTCCAGGCGGGGGGTCACAGCACCCTGGAGACCTTCGTGCCCCCCCGCCGGGCCAACTACGTGACGGGCACCTTCGTGGCGGGTGGCACCGAGGGCGGCTGGGTGGGCGAGCTGGCCCGTGACCTCGACTGCCCCACGGGGGGCTCGGTGCCGCTCGCCCGCCGGCTGGAGGACCCCCTGGTCACCCGATGGGTGCTGGCCACCCGCGCCAGCCTGCCCGTGCCCCCCACCCTGGCATTCGTCCTGGGGTCGGGGGGGCCCCTGCCGGCGGAGCCGGTGGCCCCCGGGGTGAAGGTGGTGAGGCTGGAGGACCCCCAGGGCCAGGAGAGCCTGGTGAAGGAGGAGGTGGGCACCTTCCTGGGGGGCACCGCCATGCAGCCCTACAGCCAGGTGGGCACGGGGGGCATGGGGGGTGTGGGCACAAGGGTGGGGGGCACCCGTGGGGGGTTTGGAGGTACCTGTGGGTCACATGCCAGTGGGGGTGTCAGCAGTGACATGGGGGTGATGACTACCTGGGTGGTGGGGTGGCTGTTGGGGTGGGGGTGGCATGGGGTGGCATGGGGGGATGGCATGGTGTGGGGTGACATGGGGGTGTGGGGTGGCACATGGTGACCACGGGGTGGTACATGCAGGTGGTGGGATGCCAGGGGGTGGCATGTGTAGGTGGGGGATGGGGGCCATGGTGTGGGGTGATATTGGGGTACCCAATGGTGGTGGGGTGGCACAGGGTGGCACAGGGTGGCATGTGTAGGTGGGGGATGGTGGCCACGATGGTGGGGTGGCATGGGGTGGCACAGGGTGGCATGTGTAGGTGGGGGATGGTGGCCACGGTGTGGGGTGACATTGGGGTACCTGATGGTGGTGGGGTGGCACAGGGTGGCATATGTAGGTGGGGGATGATTGTGGCCATGGTGGTGGGGTGACATTGGGGTACCTGATGGTGGTGGGGTGGCACAAGATGGCATGTGGAGGGGGGGGATGATGGTGGCCACGGTGGGGGGGGGGCATTGGGGTACCCAATGGTGGTGGGGTGGCACAAGATGGCATGTGGAGGGGGGGGATGATGGTGGCCACGGTGGGGGGGGGGCATTGGGGTACCCAATGGTGGTGGGGTGGCACAAGATGGCATGTGGAGGGGGGGGATGATGGTGGCCACGGTGGGGGGGGGGCATTGGGGTACCCAATGGTGGTGGGGTGGCACAAGATGGCATGTGGAGGGGGGGGATGATGGTGGCCACGGTGGGGGGGGGGCATTGGGGTACCCAATGGTGGTGGGGTGGCACAAGATGGCATGTGGAGGGGGGGGATGATGGTGGCCACGGTGGGGGGGGGGCATTGGGGTACCCAATGGTGGTGGGGTGGCACAAGATGGCATGTGGAGGGGGGGGATGATGGTGGCCACGGTGGGGGGGGGGCATTGGGGTACCCAATGGTGGTGGGGTGGCACAAGATGGCATGTGGAGGGGGGGGATGATGGTGGCCACGGTGGGGGGGGGGCATTGGGGTACCCAATGGTGGTGGGGTGGCACAAGATGGCATGTGGAGGTGGGGGATGATGGTGGCCACGGTGGTGTGGTGACATTGGGGTACCCAACGGTGGTGGGGTGGCATGGGGTGGCAGAAGGTGGCATGTGTAGGTGGGGGATGGTGGCCTTGGTGGTGGGGTGACATTGGGGCACCCAACAGTGGTGGGGTGGCATGGGGTGGCACAAGGTGGCATGTGTAGGTGGGGGATGATGGTGGCCATGGTGTGGGGTGACATTGGGGTACCCAATGGTGGTGGGGTGGCACAGGGTGGCACAGGGTGGCATGTGTAGGTGGGGGATGGTGGCCACGATGGTGGGGTGGCATGGGGTGGCACAGGGTGGCATGTGTAGGTGGGGGATGGTGGCCACGGTGTGGGGTGACATTGGGGTACCTGATGGTGGTGGGGTGGCACAGGGTGGCATATGTAGGTGGGGGATGATTGTGGCCATGGTGGTGGGGTGACATTGGGGTATCTAATGGTGGTGAGGTGGCACAGGGTGGTATGTGTAGGTGGTGGATGGTGGCCACGGTGTGGGGGGACATTGGGGTACCCAATGGTGGTGGGGTGGCACAGGGTGGCATGTGTAGGTGGGGGATGGTGGCCATGGTGGGGGGGGGCATTGGG